TCTGCCATAGTCTTCTGGAAAATTCTTCATAGGGGTGACCACTATGCTTTGAGTTCAGGATAAAAAATGTAAATAGCCAACATTGCCTAGGAATCCCATCTACTGGAAAGTTTGCCTTTCTATTCAAAATAATTACTTTCTGCTTCTTTCTCTGCAAAGCTCCGCATCTTGCCTTTCACAGCTCCTCATTCCACATCACTGATGACCTCACTTCAGTGGACCATGAAAAAGTCAAAGCCACTGGAAAGAACTCCTTCATCCTCTCTGCAGCAAATCTACGTCTCGTCAGAACTGCTTCTGCTTCCTTTCCTCTTGAGTGTCCAGGCTTTCCAAGTCCTGCTCTTCTTTCCACTCAGGTCCTGTCATCTCCTTACTTGTTAAATTCGATAGACCCTTTTACATCTGAACTAATTTGAGGTTGAGAGCCATCGACCCAGAGGATGGCCCACCATTTCCCTTTGAAACACCCTTTATTTTCCAGCCTTTAAAACTCTACACCCTCCCATTTTCCCTTTCACACCACTGGAAGTCCCATGTCAGTCTCCTTCGTGGATTTTTCTTCTGTTTTATATGGCAAGATGAAGCTCCTGCCTGGATACACATAATCCATCTTGTAGGTTTGAAGTTCAAATATCATTTCCTTAGAGGACAATGCAGGCCAGACCTATTTAGGTTCCTGAGTTACATGCTCATTACACATTCAGCTACATTCTCATATGTATTTTCCATAGCATATATTACACATGCCAGGAAATTGTTTTGCATTTACTTGTTCTACATTTGCATCCTCTTCTGGGTTGTCTGGGTGGACTGCATTGTTTCTTGTGCCTTTTACAAAGCTGTAAATATGCCAGACACCCTATAAATACTAGCAGAGTGAATGAATTATTATGTAAGTGACTGAAAGGACCCAACAAGCATTCTCTTTCCCTTCATTTCATATTTAGAGGAGCTCGGACATCCTGGGGTTGTGGGGTCAAAGGATACTATCATTTCTACAGAAGAAAGACAGTTTTGTGGTGGGACAGATGTTAGCAGATGTTTAAAATTACTTAAGGACATATTCATGGAAACCTCTAAGCAGTTGGATATATAGACATGGATCTTAAAAAAGGTCAGAGTTAAAGATATAGATCTTCAAATTGTAAATATTTATTTTAAAGTATTTTTTAAAGAAGATATTGTGTGTGTCTTAAAATAGAGGGAAAGCATAGGTGTATGTCAGAGGTCAAGTGCTGAGATACTAATGAACAGCATGTTGGGCACAAATTAAAATTAGGTAAATTCTAACTTGATTGTCGAGGCCCAAAAGAATCACAATATAGAAGGCCTGGCATGGAGGTGCACTCCTATAATCCCAGTACTCAGGAGGCTGAGGCAGGAGGACTGGTGCGAGTTCCAGATCAGCCTGTGCTACAAAGTGAGCTCAAGGCCAGTATGGACTACTTAATGAGACCCTGTCTCAAAAGAAAAAAAGAAAAAAAGTGTAAGAGTCACAATAGAAATGAACACAAGTGGAGTTATATTCCATCTCTTACTTTTTGATAATAAATCCTGAATCCAGAATTAAAATCTTTTCCTAGATACCTGGAAAAAGACCCACACAGAGATAGTATCCTAACAAAACTGTAGTACTTTTGAAGTTATGGTGCTTTTAGAGACAAATGAAGTTAATTACAGTCTTATAGCTCTAGATGGGACTGGAAAGTGTCAATGCAAACAAGGGCCAGGGCTCACTAGGAAGCTGTGTCACACTTAGCTTCCAACCCAGACTGGACAAGATCCTGTGTTGCACTTCAGAATTGTAAGAACTTAGAATTCTTTAGGTCTCATGTGCTATCTCAGAAGTACTGTTATCCCTGTGTTTTTAGTAAATGAGCCTAATTTTATGGGGAATAAAGAGCAACAAGGCTGAGTCAGTGAACCTGTCCTCCCTCCTGCAAGATGGTGTGGCAAGGGGGCAGCTCCCAGTATAGAGTTCCATGGGATACAGTGTCTTAATTTTTCAAGTCTGTACTTGGGTGACAAACTCATACTTCTACTAAGATAATAAATAGTCTTGAGGTTCTTGAGCAGACAGGTAGGAAATCAGTAGTAGTCGGAGAGTGGCTGCAATAATTGACAAAGAGGACAGAGGGAAAGAGGTCCTGGCCACAGTGGTTTCTCCGGGATGGAAGGCTGCACTTCTGTCGCAGAGCTCTCAGCCTTGCATCTAATTCTAGATTGCAAAGTGCATTGCTGATGTTCAAACTTCGCTCATATCTGTCAGCAGTATCCTCGTTGCTCCTTCAACTTTTTAAATATTTCTTTTCTCTCAGATAAAACACCAAGGTAGACAAATTCCTTTATAAGCTTTTCTTCCCAACATTGGAATATAAAGAACTCAATGTCTAATAATTTTTGGGTAACGTTTAGTCATTTTGCTACTGTGGACACCAGAACTTAAACACTTAGTGCTGTGGAGAAGGGGAGAAAAGAAGAATAAAACTAGGAATGATGGTAAATGTTGTTGGCTCAATGGAAAGTCTCAGCATTAGAAAATCAACTCTTCACCACATACCACACTGCCACCCCCAGCACACTAAGCCAGCCACAGAGACCGAGGTTGGTGCCACACACCTGTCATCCCAGCTCTGGGGAGGCTGGAAACCGAGGGTCACTACAAGTCCAAGCTTTGTAATAAGACCCTGTACCAAATACATTAAAAAAGAAAATCAACTCTCATTGGTAAAGGCAAAATAAACTTGTTACACAATGATTTAGGACAGCAGACACAAAAAATGAACTAAAGGATGCACGCAGTATCTCTGTGGCTTTTTGTGGTTTCCTATTTCTTAGGCTTTTGGGGGATCTATGTGTATGTAAACATAATTTGAAGAACAGCAATACTTCATTTTCATGAATGCCCTCAGATATATGTTTGGGTTGAGCAAGCGTAAGTACGTGAAAGGAAGTTCTACCACACTTGAACTTCGTAGATACCAAATCCCAGTCTTCCTTATTACGCTGTTAACTTATGGAGCTGTTCCTTATATGAGTGAGACAGGTACTTGCTTGTAGCAAGAACGAGGGACCAGGACCTAGAAAGAACCCCCTGAACAGCGTATGTGTAGAGTACCACTGCCCCCTGAGGCGTCGGTGGCATAGTGAGTGTACTGGGGACACACGGAAGTTGGCCCCTAGAATATAACTACCTAACTCATTAGCTGTTGAGCGAAAATCTGTCTGCATGTATGTCATCGTATATACAGCTACGTGAGCACATTCTTGAAATCTTCCTAAATTACTGTATCATTTTTTAAAAAACTCTCTGCCTGAGAAATTTTCTGGACTCCATTTGTTTATGCTTGAAGCAAAGCTATGTGGGTAATAACACCAAATTAGATTAAGTTCAGTGATAGTTGCTATATGCATAATTTTCCCCCTAAAGGCTTTTATTAGAGCATGAGTACATTTCTGAAGACTTACAATTGTGTAGTTGATTTATCTATGTGTGTTACAGCTTTGTTTATTTGTTTTGTGGGGCTAGGAATCAATCCCAAAGCCTGGCACATGCCAGGCAGGAGCTCTGACACTGAGCTACATCCTCAGGCCCTGCATGTGTTATGATTTTCATTGGAAACAGTGATTGAACTGAGGGCCCTTGCACTGAGCACCGTCCCCAGCCTTGCATTGTTTCTTTCTTTTTTTGAGACAGGCTCTTGCTGAGTTGCTAAATTGCCCAAGCTGGATTTAAACTTGCAG